GCAGTGAGCAGCCGCACCGCTGGGACCCCTGCGTGTCCGCCTGCCACAGCCCCCGGCCCGGCCACTGCCGGACGCCCCCCTGGGCCACGCCCGCCGGCCAGGACCAAAGCCGCTGTAACGCGCCTGGCACTGCCGCCCGGCCTCCCGGGGGAGGGGTCGCACCCGCCGGGTGGGGGAGGAAGCCCAGAGTCAGGGCCGAGGGCTCTGCCCACTGGCACCTGGCCCGTCCGTCAGCGCTGAGATGGGCCCCGTCCCTCGCGGCTGAAACCCTACGGTGTTTGAGGCCCAGAGAGGGAAAGACACTTGCCTGAGGTCACACAGCGGGTGACTGAGGTGAAAGGGGGCAGGTGTCCCTGTGTCTCCCCGGGGTCGGGCGTCTCTGCCGCGGCTCACGGGCCGTGCTCTGTCCCCCCCAGCCTTGTCCTGGACCCCCTTTTCCTCGCCGACCGTGAGCCACGCCTTTCCCTGCGCCAACCCCGGCACGCTGCCCCGCGGGGCCCAGCCCGTGAGTCCCCGCACGCCCATGGGGCGGAGGAGGCAGCGAAGACGGGAACATAGGAGCTCACGTAAGGCTTGGTCTCTTCCCGCCCCTCGGGGGTGCGTGGGTCGGCCCGGGGAAGGCAGGGCCCCGGGGCTGTGCGCGTGTGAATGTCAAATAGCGCGAGTGGTACACAGGCTGCCACGGATGGTTGCGCAGGTTGCGCACTGCACAAGGGCACAGTTGAGGGGCGCCAGTCGCTCTGTGCACTTTTAGTCTCGCACGTTTTTAGCACGAAAAATTCCCAGCAGTTGGTGGCAAAGCATCTTGGGGAACAGGTGCCTCTTTAGGTTTGCGTGGTTTTTTTTCGTTCATTCGCTCCGATGCATTCGAGGGGAAAGTGTCAGCGTGGCACGACCGTCCCTTTACTGTCTCTCTGTGTGTCACTTCACGGACTTTACGGTCGCTGTGTCTACATTTCCCTTTGAGATGAAGCTATTTCAGTGGAGGCCTGACGTAGCGAGACTCGCTTGGGAAGGGCCTTATTTGCAGATCTAGAAAGTGCTCCCAGCCTCCCGCCCGTGGGCTGCGGAGGCCTCCGGGAGGGGTGGGAGGTCACACGGGGTCACTGGCGATAAAATCAGGTGAGGAAGAAACGAGCACAGGTCACCTGGTGTCTGGAAGGATCTCAGGATGGTTTTGAGCTTCCCGGGAGCAAAAGCGAAACAGATTCCAGCGTCGGATGAGAGATGAAATATATCTCTGCCGGCCGCTTTTATCGGCCACCGCAGCTGCGGGTGCGTAGGTGAAAAGATGTAGAGGCTGGGGGTGCTCTGGGGACCCCTAACCTCTCGCCTTCCTAGCATGGGTGACTAATAAAGAATTACCATTACTGTTACCGATCCTAATTAATTCACAAATTAAATAAACATTTTTGACTTTTTATGGATCGGGTACCATTTTTATCACTGGGGATACAAGAGCGAAAAAAATAACAAACATAATAACATAATATACCTGGCAACATATTTCACATATTAT